ACACACAGACACAGAGACAGACACACAGAGACAGACAGACACACAGAGACACAGAGACAGACACACAGAGACACAGACAGACACACAGAGACACAGACAGACACACAGAGACACAGACAGACACACAGAGACACAGACAGACACACAGAGACACAGACAGAGTCTCGTCACACATCTGATACTGTAATGTTTACATCTGCATTATTGCTCTGACGGCTGTTGTTGACACGGACTGTAAGGGAAGTGTTCGTGTCTGCTTTATATCTGACAGTAATCATCTTTAATAAGGCTGCAGATGCGTCTGCTGTGGTGACTCGCTGATGTTTGTGTGTGAATGCTGATCTGGTGAAGAGTGTTAGCGCGGCTAGCCGCTAGCATGCTACAGAAAGCGCGTGAGCTTCCCGCCGGTGATCGGTGACAGCGGCTGTCTCTTACCTGACGCTCGCAGAACGACTGACGCGCCGCCTCGACGCGCTAGAATCGCAGAAATATGAACATGATCTGATGATGATGATGATGATGATGATGATGATCGCCGCTCTGATGTCAACACAACCTGCGCCACATCCGGGTCACCTGTGCGCCAAACACGATCACTTCCTGTTCAGATGCAGGCTTACATGTTCTGACAACTAACAACTGCCCGTTTATTTATTTTTATTGTAACATTTTTCTTCATAATAACACCACAGTAATGAACAGAAGTATGTAGTAATGTAGAAGGAGAAGTAATTACAGATTTTATGCAAAATTCCTTTCATTTGTAAACAAAACTGTTCCAAATACGATATAATCTAATGCTCTAAAAATAATAATATAATATAATTCAACTCTCAATTTTCATCCATCATTAAAGATTTAAGTCTAATATTGTGCTGTGTTGCCTGATCTCTTCAGCTGTGCATTTATAAATTCTGCAAACATTCGTTAAAATAATCTAGAAAACAGAAGAATCCATGATTATTTAATCCTAGCACATTCTTTAAAAAAATACATATTAGTTAAATGTTAATTTGTAAATGTAAATACATATTTAATCTAATAATAATATTAATCATAATAATAAATTAGTAGTAGTAGTAGTTGTATGGCTGTGTTTCTGTGTCACAGAAATAGTGTTAGTGTGTGATCAGATATAATCAGAAGTTTATCAAATATATGAACTGCACACCGAATAACCCCATCAGGTGCTGTCAGGTGTTTCGTGGATATTAGTGATTAACAGTAGTGAGTGTTGTCTCTCTCTGGCATTCATTTGTGGATCGCTCGCTGTGCATTTGTGGATCGCTCGCTGTGCATTTGTGGATCGCTCCATGCATTTGTGGATCGCTCGCTGTGCATTTGTGGATCGCTCGCTGTGCATTTGTGGATCGCT